TCAATCTTCAGTGGAGAAAACAACTCCTATTATAATTATATTTGTGTTTTCAAGTGTTAAGGTGCCTTTTAAGAAGACGCCTCACACAAATTAAATTTACCTAAAATCTAACCTAACTTTTAGCATTGCGTTGTGATTTATAAGAACCGGATTAGCCTCATGTTGAACTGGTGATGATCATGAATAATAATTAAATAAAACGTACAATTGTTATCCAGTGTATATATCTTAAATTTTATTAAGTGGAAAAGTAAACAAAATTATCAAACAAAGTGTACCAAGAATAATTAAGAATAAATGTCCTCTGGGATTTATTGAATAATTAAGTGAATTTGCTACACAGTACAGGTAATACCATAATTAATTTACCTCTTAGCACAGCCAACGAACATTACGCGAATAGACTGGAATTTTCTCGAAACATACCTGGAAAAGTCAGGGAATTTCATTCTCCTGTTTGAGTGGCAACCCTGTAATAAAGCTAGGAGAAGATGCGTTGTGTGCGCTAAAACCAAGGAAAAGCAAACAACGTATTTCGAGTGCAAAATATGCAATGTAGGACTGTGTGTTGATCCTTGTTTTGAGTTATTTCACACACAGCAGAATTTTTAAATTGGAATTTAATTACCTACATGTAGTTCTTGCTTAGTTTTTTTTTTTTTTTTTTAATTTCGCTTTTGTAATTTTTTTCACGTTTATAGTATTTATTTCTGCGTGTATAGTTATGATTTTAGTATTTTGCCTGTTTATTTCTATTAATGTGATATTCTTTATATTAATGCACATTAAAAAACAGTACATTAAATACGCAGCTTCAAAAATTGAAGTCATAATATCAAAATGCAGATTTTATACCTTTTTTTTTGTGTGTGTGTGTGTGTGTGTGTGTGTAAAATTAGGCTTGCCTGCTGAAAATGCTCGGGCTGGTGGTGACAATTTCAGTGGGTCCGGTCCCGTGACTGCGCTTCGTTCTGCCATTTCTGGTCCTTAAGGGGTTAAGCTATATTTCAGCTGTTAGGAATAACAATTTTATACCAGAATCTACTAAATGAAACATTATTTAGTGCTACTTTGGTTCACCACGCAGTGCAATTCCTGCCGTCAGTTGCTGTCAGTAGAAAGTTCATTTAGAAAGATTTATTCTTAGTTTCAAACTGCACCTCTTTTCCTGGATATCTTCTGATGGGTATAGTAATGATGTCTTATCTTCAAAACTATTAATAAATTTAAATCCATAATCCATGATTGGCCAAGTAGGTCAAATCATGGGACACTGGTTGTTTAACTCAAGTTCAAATTCCAGCAAAAGGGTTGGCTTTTCGTGATTCTATATGTAATGTGAACATAAGTCTACTTTCTTTAGAAAACTGTGTATAAAGATTTCTTTTTTCCACAAATCGAGTTTCTTAAACTGTGGGTTGAGGGACCTGCAATAGGGGGTCATCAAAAATTTATTTGGTATTTCTTTAACTTATTATAATAATTTTAAATTTCCAAATACTTTTAAATAATGTGCCTGAAAATAGATAAAAATAAAGACAATACAGACAAAGAAAAAAACGAAAACTTTTCGAAGCGTTCTTTTTATAAAAGAAACTTTAATTTTACTTTAAAAGTTAAAGTCAGTGACCTAAAACTGCAATAGTGTATTAGAGAACAAGTGAAGAAACTGATAGTTTCACTCGCACATGTGTCGGATTTGCACAATGCTCAAGGGGTCCCGCAAAATGTTCGTAAATATTTGTGAGCCCCCATGCACTAATCAAACAAGTCACATGCTTTTCCATATTCGACTAAATTTTATATCATTATCGCATTATTCCGGCCCCAATGAAAATGCTACTTTCACTTTGGCTTAGCATCTTTCAGTATCAAGGCCATTCAAATGGAAGCTCAATTCATTACTTACACATTATCTAAGTAACATTTTCATGCATATTACTTCTCAAAAGTATGCAGTGGTGAAATATGTTAAATATTGGTGCTGATTTCCATGTACTTAACGCCCACCAGCGGCCGAGCAGTAAAGACGCTGAACACTGGTAGTTCGGTCCGAGGTTTGAATCCCGCAAACGGGCTGGCTGCATGGGCATTTTCGTGGTTTTCCCCATGTGTAACGTGTATACGAGCCAGTTTCCCTTAGAAAGTCATCCACGAAGGCATACCTCCCTTTAGGCAGATAGCCCTCGTGTGCTTTGCCGTAATTGAATAATCCAATCCATGTACTTAACTTTCTATGAATATTTCTGAAATGGAATAAGAAAAGGATTATTTTTCTTAATATTATTTAAAACTTGTAACTGAGTTATTATAGAATATAAGGAAACAATTCTATTAATACTTGCGATATTTTTTTACTCTTAATTTCAACAATACATATTCTAAAAACACTTTTTTACTACTTTCTTAAGTAAGCATCTCGTAGAATTTGCTTTGCAATACCTTTTAACAAATTGCTTTCAAGTACGAGCAATTCTTGCTTAAATACTATTATAAATGTATTTGTCAACAGAATTTCAATTTATGTTAACAATTAAATGCTATTATATATTTAGCTATATCTGATAACTAGATTACTTCAGAGTAATTTTTACAGGAGTTTATGGATGAATAAATCCTTCATTTCCAAATGCATTTATAAATAATTTAATGAATATTTAATCAGAAAATGTATGTAAACATCAGTGTTCTAGACAGCCATTTTCCCATGACATCATTGTATTATACTGTTATGTGCTGCTTGGTTGCTGCATATTAAAATAAATTTTTGGTAAAGGTTGTTGGGTGCATTGCATAAAAAATTTTGTTATTGATAGCTTCAAGTTTTACATATATCATTGGAATCATCCTGTTACTAATTTTTATAACACTAAGGCTAAACTGTAGCTAAATCTTTGAAATTTGATGGTTTGTTTCTTGTTTTATTCCAAAATGCACCAGGGCATCTGGGTTGTTTTGGATAGCATGTCAGAAACACCATGACTATTTCGGTAATTTCATATGCATGAAACTTAATGCATATAGTTTTAAAACCAAACTATAAATTTGTTACTGCCATGGTAGGAAGAACATTGGAATTAGCATACAAATTTCAATTTTTGAAAAAGCATCTATCACCTTATGAACTGATTTCAAAATTTGCATTCATGTTTACAATTTTGTATCGATTCATGGTACTTTCAAAGCTTCATCCAAATTTACTTCTGTAAAATGCAGTTTTGTTGAATAGTTTTGCAAAAATACGGTGAAATTAGCAAAGTAACTAACTGACCTTTCAGATATCAAAATTCATAGCTCCTATGTAATATGCACAGGGTTAAGCTTTTTTATGCAGCAGACTCTGAGATCATGAGAAAATCTAAATGGAAAAGGAAGTGAAGCAGTTTGATTCCAGAGTTTCTGTGATCCATAAAAAAGCTTATTCTTTTCCCTAATTTTGATTCATTCCTTATGATGTAATTGTTTAAAATATGGAAAAATTCATATATTAGACCTGCTGTGAGAACAAAAAAAATTTTAGGAACTATTGGCATAAGATGTAATTGTTCTTTTACATAAATATTTTTTTCTTCTTGTGTTGCAATACTGGCCAGCTCATTTTAGTCTTTCATGAAAGCATCTCGTAAGTAGATGGCCCTTGGAATATTTTATTCTCTGTAACCAAATAATTAACCCTCTGAGCATTACGGGTTTAGCCCTGAAATTTCAAAGTTCCTCAAAATGTCTTGAATAAGTGATATTTTTGGGATTTTAATTAAAAAATTACTCATTTTGTACCTTGATTCCTTTTCTTCCAATATACATCCAAACTGAAATCAGATACATTAAAAGCTAGCAGAAATTTTCATGTATAATGAATGTGTAAGGCAACCTTCTGTATGGAATTTTCTTGTCTTAACGCTGAGAGGGTTAAACTGCTAGCCTTCATTAATAGTCTTTTAGAAAAGCTGGGTGAAATTATACCAGATTTTGTAGAAACAGCAGATCTGCTATATATAAGGTCAGATTACTGAAAATAATTCTTCTTTGTTGATAGTAAAGTAAAGCAAAATTAATGTTTCAAGAAATGTCTGCTATTTTATAGATTAAGAAATTCTAGAGTCTGTGCAAATATTTTGAATTTTCATAGGTTTTATTCTTAAAACTAAATAGTCTGGGACTTTTCTGATTTATACACTAATGTAAGTACTTCATAAAACTATCTTGTGGGTAATAAAAGTTCTGATAAATTCAGTGCAGAATGCTTGCATTCTAATAAAAAATGGATTATTTCTTTTAAATGATACATTATGTATTTGAAATAATTGTGTGTAATATTGAACTGGATATGTGATACAGTACAAAGTCCGTAATCCGGACTTGTTGGGACTTCAACGATTCCGGGTTATAGATCATCAATTTAAATCTGAAAAGATGGCATGCAGAAATTAAACAATTAAAAGTATGAAACCGTAATTTATGAAATAAAGAGCAGTTATGATCTAAAGGGTATCAAAATTTACAAAAAAAAAGGCTTAATATTTATTTGTTTATTTTATGAAACATTTCTTTCAATGTAAGTTATTTATGCTAATACTTTCTCTTTAATTCTATAAACAGAAATAATTTCTTGTTTTACAAAGTTCCACTATTCAAGTCGTGTAATTGCTGTGTCGAGAATACAGACTAACTTGTGTATCGAATTTTTTTTTCATTTTCAATAATCTTTCTGTCATTTTCTTCACTATCAGAAGAGACGCATGCGTAAACTTATTACGCGCATGCATAAAGCAAAAAAAATTTTGTGGCTTTGAGGTCCTGATTACGGACTTTGTACTGTATATCAGTAGATATGAATTATTTATTAAGTAGTACTAATTCACTAACTGTACCTTTTTCTTTTAAATTTTGGTATATTTATTGTATTTTACTGTGTAAACATTTTATGCTGTTTTCTTTTTGTTAAATTTTTCTTTTGTAAATTTATAATGAATAACACTTTTGTTTGTTTTTATTTTTAGGTATTTCTCTGATTGCTGTTTGCTTCAATTCTGGAGATTCATTATACATTTCATATAATGATAATTCTCATTAATTAAAAGCAGAGAAAAGATATTTTATTTTGAAGTATTGAACTTGATTAAGTAAAGCCATGGCTTTAGGTCCATTTTGTAAAGCTTTGGGGATTGATGAAGAAGTTCTTAGTGGTCAGAAGACAAAAACTTGTGATGTGAAAAGTATCACTAATGGAGTTATGTGGGAATTGAAGAAGTATAAAACAGCAAAAAAATTATCATTGAAAGATATTGTCGATTGGCTTATAAAAATATTTCAGATTCAATGTGAAAATTCTGAGGCTGTTCAGGGAGAGTTAAATGAAAAGTATGAAAGCTTATTGAACATTCGAAATACATTGCTGAGATCTCCAAACCGTTATCGTGGAGAGATGGAGAGACTTATGAATTGGCCGTTTGACTTGCCTGCAGTAATGGGAGTTGAGGCTCCACCAGTTTTTGAACCAACTGTGCAGGCTAATCTTGGTCCAAAATTGTTGAAAGTATTAAAAGAAAAAGGTGGGGATGATGATGATGCTGCTGCTGAGATATCAGATGATGATGATGAGCAAGTTAAGAAGAGAAAAGCAAGAGAGGAGATTGTTCAGTTAAAAAAAGATTTGGGTTCCGCTAAGAAAGTGATTACATCTTTAAATGATAAAATGTCTGATCTGAGCAAAAGATGTCTCATATTAAATGATTTGAGTAAATCTTGTGTTTCAGAACGAAGGCGCATTGAAAATGATATTGCAAAACTTAAGGCTGGATGGAATAATGTTATGTCTAATTGGCATGATTGTATGGAACGTTTAAACCATGTTAATAATAATAAAGGTAATTATTTGGATGTGGGATATATGGTACGGCGCAATAAAACTAAGCAGGGTATTTTCGATGAACTGAATTTTGAATTTGAAAAAACACTTGAGGAATTCAAGTATAAAGTAAGTTCTTTGATTGAGAAAGAGAGACGTAAGAAAAAGGTGGCTTCTAGAGAGTATCGTCAGAAAAGCAAATCTGACAGAAAGAGAGTGAGACAGGAAAGCGAAGATACTGAGGAAAATAAAAAAATTTGTTTGTCTGAAGAAGCAAATAAACAAATTTCTACTAGCATGAGCATTGAAGAATTTATGAAATCTGAAAAGGTAGATGAATTTAAAGGAGGGAAGTTTATAAATGCTTTGAAAGCTGTGTACACAGAATTGACATCTATGCCTGTACCTTGTAATAATGTTCATGAAATAATATTTTCCATTTTGGATGAGCTTGAGCCTTTGAATACTGAAAAAATCCCTTCACAATCATTTGCTGGGAATATTTTGATGGAAGCACGAATGATAGCTTCACTAGAAGCATTCTCTGATCTTCTCAAAATGAGCAAAGTTTCAATTTGCAACGATGGTGCTTCAAAATTTTCTTGGAGTGATACCTGTTATGTTGTTACTTTGCCTGATGAAACACATTTAAAGTTGGGGATTCGAGATATATCACAGGGCAGTCCAGATACATCTTTAAATTCTCTAAAAGATATTATTGGAGATATTGTGAATGCTAAAGTAGAAGTAAATGAAGCATTAGAACCTTTGATAAAAATTTTAAGTTCATTAATAGATCAACATTTCTTGGAGAAAAAAATTATTGAAATACTCTTTCTGTATAAACAGCAAGTATTACCTTTGGTGATAAACAATTTGGAAACGTTTCCAGATGCCGTAAAGTCCAAAGTGTTTCTTTTGAATAACTTTTGCACTGGATTATATTTCTTGCTCGGTTTGGCAAAACTTGCTGATGTCACTGTTTTAACGTGGGAGAGTTTATCACTTGGTGGTAGCTCCGCTGATGTGCCAAAAGATAATGAAAATAATCAAATATTGAGTAAGACTGTACAACAGATGTATGCTTTTTGTAGCAAAGTGGATGCTGATAGCTCTGATGAAATTGGGTCTGAATTCAGAGCATTTGTCCAGAATGAGAAAAAACTTGATTGCATACCTGTAGCTCCGTATAAAAGTATTTTTAATACGATTTTTCATAATAGTGCTGGTATTTGGTTTTATCATGAAATTGGACTGTTGTCAGAATTTTTTGAAAAAATTAAAGAAAAGGAAATAGAAGCAAATTCACTTGCTGAGTTACTGAATGAAAAGCATAGTTATGCCTTTGCTAGAGCTTTGGGATTGCTAGGAAAGCTTGTAGCTGTACCTTTGTGGACTGTGTTAGAAGATGATGATGTTGAAATAGGGTCAAGGTACAGGACTCTGCTGAATAATGTAGAAAATTGGGCAAAAGATTCTTCTAAATTCATGAAAGGACAGGAGCGTCTTTTTGAAGATGTACCTGTGTCTCATGATGCAGTGTATGTTAGTTTAATAAAAGATAATGAGTCAAGTGATGCTTCAACAAAAGAAATTCTTGAATTAATGTTTACAGCATTTGTTCCATATATCAAGTATTTCTTATTTGGTAATGCAGCATATGAAAAACTAAATGATTCAGCAATGGAAACTGATGATATTAAATTGTCAGTTCATGAAGATTTTGGTTTGTTTGATCGAATAACAATGAACATTCACTCAGCTACCAAATATGCTTTAGATGCACTAATGTTATATAGTAAAACACGAAATGGTGCCTGGCAAGACAAGTTAGGTAGCAAAGACAACATAAAAGTGTTTGAATTAATTGAAAAGGATTATGCCAAGCAGTTGAAAACACTCTACAAACGTAAGATTAAACTGAGTGAAATTAAAGGGCAAGCTGAAGGTAAAAACTTGGATGAGTACAGTAAATGCCAGTTAATTGAGAAAAAATATAAACTCATTGATGATCTTATGAAATGGGGTGGTCTGTGGAAAAGTGAAAAAGAAATTGATGCTCAAATAAAAGAAATGAAGGAAAGTGATCGGTTGAGTGCTTTTAGAGCACAAATTCGCTTCCGAAGGCATATATTGGGAGAAGAGCATAATAATGGTTTATTAGATTTAGCATCAGAAGGTGAGTGTTTTAATGCTGCTAAATTACATGAAAACTTAAAAACAATATTGAAGAAAGAATGTGAGATGACTGAAACTGATGTCTTTGAGTTAGCATCTGCTACAGATGATGAAAGTAGCAAAGAAAAAATATATGAATTGTGTAAGAATGCACAAGAGTTAAAACCTTATGCAGAACCTGTAAAAAGTACTCTACCAAAGGAAAATTTCCATTGGCTTCTTGGTAAACTCATTAGTCATAAGTGGATTTCTGATCAAGGCGAAGAAATTGTGACAGGTATATGCATTGCAAAGAAAAAGTTAGGTGGTGTGTATTCATACTTTATTTCTTACAAAGAAAAAGGTGTTTACAGCATTCCTGAAAGTCGAATAGCTGAAGATTTCAGAAAGTTGAATTTAAAAGTCATTGAACCATCAGTGAATGATTTGGTTGGTTCTCGCCTTAGTCGTGCTTTCATTAAAGATGATGGTGATTTAGAGTGGCATGATTGTAAAGTTATTGGTGTTACAAGTCATGGATCAGAATTTGTTGTGGAATTTGACTTTTATGGTGGTTGTGAAGAGGTGAATACTGATGTCCAAATTCCTGAATTAGAAACTTTCACCTTCACCACAAATTTGTTAGAGGACTATCGAACGGATCATCTTCGATTGCTGTAATCGTTTTCCATTCTTAACTTTCACATTGGGGAGTTAAGTGCCTAAAAATAAACCTTCAAAGTGGATGGAGGTTGGTATATTGTGTAAAGAAGCACTGATTTGTTGCTTTAGTTTTTACTACAATGTACAGTGTTTTGCTGTTTTATTATGCGTCATCCTATACCTATATCTAGGTGTATCATTTGAAACCACTATCATAACATCCTAGACTAAATGCATTGTGTATAAATGCATGTTTTATCAGTTTTATTGCTTATGTCATACTTTTCCATCTTTGAGGGGATTTATTATGTATTGTACACTTTTATAGTTTTTAATTGTAGTTGTTTCTATACAGATTGTGCTGTTAATTTTGTGTATTGATTTAACTACTTTCCAGTGTCCGTTCTTAAGAAAAATGTTCATTGGATGAAAACCTCAATTTTGATCTAGATTTCATTTTATATATGGAATCTTCCTTCTATGTAAACTAGTCTTTTTTCCTTATATTAGTAAATTGTTTTTAGGTGACTGATAAATTGGACATTGCTTTTCCTGTTTAAAAGTTTACTCTCGTGTATTTATAGAACTGTTCCAGGTTAAATTATAATTTTTTGGAGAAATTTCCATAATAAGGGTAAAAAGACAATTTGGTGCCGTTTTCATTCTGCATTGTCATTACATTATTTTTAAATAATAAAATTGGCTTTGGTGTCTTCCTCCCGCTTTTGGGGAGAGATTATTTGAAATGTGTTTATTCTTAATTTAAATTGTGATTCAAATTCACTGTTCACATAAACACATTGTTTGAAGTTCCCTTTTCATTAATTTTAAATGTTTTTTTCATTCTTTTATGTGTGAACAAATTTAATTTTTACAGAAGATGGCTGTAAAAAATTTTAAGTTTCTAATGCCTTAAAATTCTTTTCCCGAATATAGAATTAGCTTATAGTTTCAAAAATTAAATATCATTAACCCAAAACATTTAAATTTACTTTGAAGGCTATATAAAAATGAAAACAGTTTTATGTATTTTAAACAAATAATAAGCTGTTTTTTTTTTTTTTTTTTAATGCTTTTGACTGGAAATTGGCTCTAAATTACTACCATTATGGAAATTGTGTCTTTTAACTATAAGTAACTAGTCAGTCTTTCATTTAAAAAAAAAAAAAAAAAAACTTAAAAACTGTGACAGCATTTATGCATGCTATTTTAATCATTTTATTCTACCTTTTGAAAATTTCAAGTAATTGCATTTAAATGAAATGAGTTGAGTTTATCTGAGGTAATTTTATGAAGCTATAGATTGTTGTAAAATAGCAATAATGATTCAGTTTCTAAAGGTATATTTATTGCCTTTTTACTCTTATATGAAACTACTCATTTTAACAATTTAACTTTTATCAAAAAGAAAATTTACATTATGTGTTCATGGATAAAAGAAACTGTGCCCATGTTTGACTAAGTGGTCAGTTTTTTAACTTTTGTAATAAAAGTATGTGTTTTTAAAGTTGCATAATGTATTCGGTGAAGTGATAAATTTTCATTATATTTTAATGAATAAAATTAGTGCAGTGTTTTACTGGGGTGGACTAAAAACTTTTTTGAATGTGGTAAGAAATAATTATATGAGAAATTTGTCTGGTACATATAAATTATTACTGCTGATGTAGTTCAGCATCTCTTCGTATCTGACTTGGAACTTTGTTGGATGTCAACCTTTTGACATTGATAAAAACAAGTATCTATATTTTATTCCCATGATCTACTTAGCTCCCATGCTTCTATTCACGGGTTTAAAAAAGCCATTAATTTTGTGAATTAAATGCTTTTAAGATTAATCTGTGTGAATTTATGAGATTGCAAAAGTAATTACTTTCCATTTTCTGTTTATCTGTTATGCAGAATCATTCCAAAATGGGATGTTTCACTAATGATTTCTGTATAATGGAGCTACTATTTCTAAAGATCACTGCTATTTCTAAAGATCTGTGCATATTTTATTTATAACAAGTGAATAAAAACAGCAAATACTGCCTTCATTATGAAGCAAGAATTAATTTAAAATATTGTTTAAAGTTTTGGAGGCAAAGTTTTTAATTATTGTCAATAAATTGGCCATACTTAAGAAGTTTTATAGTATAGTAAGTGTGCTCTTTTGCTGCATTTGTGGATATTGTCAAAAAGCGCTGAAGATTCTCTTTAAGTGTATATTTCTGTGAAGTTCCGAAGGATTCTGCAGAAGCTTCTCCTGGGCTTATATAAAGTCCTTCAGCATTTCTAACTAATAAAGCAATAAAAATAAAAATTTGGATCTTTGAATCTTTATTCAGATAAGTAGTGTAGGTAAAAAATGTGAAATGTCTAATCCACTGTGCTTTTAAGGGATTTGTTAATGCATCTGATGATCTAGATAAGGCAGTCATTTCTGTTTCAGAGTCACAAATCTGTTTTATTGTTTTGTTTCATTATTTTCCATTATTTTTATCAGATAAAGAATTACCAAGTAGAAATTAAAGCTTCATTTTTGTTAAATGGAAGCATTTTTCAAACAATTTAATGACTTTTTCTCAAAGCACGGATTTTTAAACTTCATGTTTTAAGTTGTTTTGTTTCTCTCCTCTTCTTTTTTTTTTCCCCCCTAAGATCGACACATTATTTGAAGGGAAACTGATGCATAGTCTATTGGAACATTTGATAATTACTGTGTTTATTCATAGCATGAATTTTTGTAAACCATGTGCATTTCAAGTATTTAAACTTGTTTTTCTTGGAGTAACATCTTTATATGTTGTGATGACATTTGGTCATACATTAAATGCAAATAAATAGTTTGTGTTCGATTCCCCCCAACTGTTAAAATGAACTGAGGTGAAGCAGCATTAAATAAAATGTAAGCATGCAGGTAATTTTAGATACCTGTCACATTTTAAATTGTAATTCAACGAAAACAATTTTTAGCTCGTTAAATATTCGAATATTGCATATAATTTTGTTGAAATGTTTTGTTAGAAATGTAGCTGAAATAAATTGTGGACCAGTGCATATACCTTAAAAATGCTACTAAGTAAAAAATATAAAAGTAAGAAATGTTACCGCTTGTAGCCCAATAAATACTCAAAAGAAACTAATGTTGTATATTGCATTGGGATCTTAATGTACAAAAACACCCACTGTTGAAATCATACAGTATGTTTTAATTGGGGTTAGTGTAATTGCTTTTAAAAGGCCCCTGCCTCTTCCAAACTAGAACTTCAGGTAATGAGTGCAATTTTTCATTTTATAAATGTATGATTTCGACCTTGATTGTGCAATAAAAGGTGATGATAAAATCTCTTAAGTTTTAAAAAATCAAAATTGCATATAATAGTAGCACTAGTATATCGTGCTAATTCTAACATGTTGAATTGCAATGTAACTTTATGGGCCCTGGTCTTTGGAATTAGTAAGAAAATTCTTTTTATGATGTTTAAAGCGGAATTCCTTTATTTGATAAAATGCATGAAAGAATTTTGAAATTAATAAAATTAAATTATATGTAGTTATATGCTTTGTGTCTTGGTAAGTGGTCCATTCAGTTATGTAATGTATAAACCACTGTCAATTGTGTGAATCCGAGAATTGTCTTTGGAATAAAATAAAATCTTTTTGTTATTTTTAAAGCAAAATTCTGTTATTTGATAAAGTGCATGAAAGAATTTCAAGATTAACGAACTTATGTTTTATATAATATGCTTTGTATCTTGACAGTTGTACATCCAATTATGTAATAGAAATTCAACTATCTGAACAAAAACTTACAGTACCTGCATTATGCTGAAGTGGATTGTTTCTTTATTATATTCTTAAGGACTCATAACTTATTTCATATCACATGCAAGTGAAAGGGATATAAGCAGCTAGAAATGGGTGCATTTAAGTGGAAATTAATGTACAAAAGACTCTTATAGTTTGAGAAGAAATAAATGTTAGATTTTTGTAATTAGCTGCTCAGATTAGTTTATTTGGTAATTATGTTGAATATTATCTTTGCTGATTTTGCAATTATAGCATAAGGTCTGCTGGAAAATTCTGTCCATTTGGGGGAATGAAAGAAAATAATGTATTTTTCACACCTTTAGTATTTATTTTGCAATACAATTTTTGTCATCTCGTATGACCTGCAAGCATGATGTTAATTTTTGAAAAATGACTTGTCCTTAAAAACAGTGAGTAGCGCTTGGCCGACCTCTGCTTCAATTTTGAATTATTTTCCCATCAAAAAATTTTGCAAGGAGAGAAGTGATAATTTTATGATGCTATGTCTGCTGGGGAGTATGGTGGATGTGGCAGAATTCTTAGCCTTTCCGCAATAATCACCAAACCAGTATCTGATCTGGATTATCATTATGCAGTATGATGTGCTTAGAACATCCCCTGCCCTCTTCTTTTTTTTTTTTTTTTTTTTTTTTTTTCTTTTGATTACTTCGTTTAAATCCATGGAGGTAGGAAGTAAGTTAGAGTCACCCTAAACAAGTTTCTCCGTACCCTGCTCTGAAGCACCGACGATCCCTACGTGGTGACCAAAACATTGGGTCATTTACCATCATTGAGTTCTATGGGATTTGACGCGTTCGGGTGTAAATATTTTGTAATTACGTCGCAAATATACATATAAATGTATATATTTTCTTTTTCTACAACACTTCAGAGTCCTAAGTATGTGAAAAAAACATATTTTTAAACAAACATTTCATTCTGAACGGAATTAAATGCTTACTTTTCACAGGACAGTTTTCTCAGAATGTTTAATTTGAATGAAATATTTTCACAAGTTTTCGTTAATTACATTAGAAAAAACAATTAAGGTTATTTGGTTAAGGTACAAAAATTAAGATCAAAGTTTATTGTATTATTAATATTAAAATTATGCATTATTTCTTTTCTATTTATAGAGCTTCTTCCTAAAATACTTTCTTAAATATGACATGATTTTTTGACTTCTTTTAAATCAAAAAATGTAAGTCAATATATAATTAATGCTCTATTCGATTCATTATTAAATAGGTATTAAATAGTATTTGACTTTCTCTGAATGTTTCTGAAAGGGAATAAAATAAGTTTTTTTTTTTTTTAAGTATTATTTAAAACTTGTAACTGAGTCATAAAATGTAAAGGGAATAATTCTTTTAATTATACTTATCAGATTTTTTTTTTTTTTTTTTTTTTTTTTTACCCTTCATTTCAACAATACATATTCCAAAACTCTTTATTACGTTCTTAAGTGTGCATCTCATAGCATTTGCTTTACAATACCTTTTAACAGATTGCTTTCCAATACGAACGTATTTGTCAACAGGATTTCAATTTATGTTTACAATTCAATATTAAGGTTATTATATATTTAGATAACATTTATAATCATTATAAATTAGATACATTTAATCATTAGATTTCTTCACAGTTGTTTATAAGTGAATAAATTCTTCATTTCAAATACATTTATAAATAATTTAATGAATATTAAGTATTTTGTCAAAGGCAGATACAGATACCCATACATACCCTTCCTTTTATCATTTCCGGCATGTGCAAATCTTTAATTTCTGTGCATTCACTATATTTTTCGTGTAAAGTAATTTACACTAATTTAGCATACACCCGAAAGTTTTACATAAAAAATATATATGAATATATAATTTGAATGAAAATTAAATGCATTATTTTTAATACCCACTCAAAGGTCAGTTTTTCTTCAAAATTCCTCCACGATGGCATCTCTCTCTTTAGGCAGATAGCCCTTGCATGCGTTACTCTATTTAATAAAAACTTAATCTGACCTATGTGCCTAATTACAAATATTTTAACATACATAATTTTATATTTACATTTAGCCATCAAGTTTCAAACTTTTCAAATCTTCTAGAAAATAAATTTTGGCAGATCTCTTTTAGCAGTTTTCTTAAAATCTATATTTTGTAGTGCAACTGCTTAGAATTTTATAAAACAAAATTCATAATCAAAATCGCTGTTGTTAGTTATCGAAAAATAACCAAGATGTGATTTTTTGCGTAAATGTCAGTAAACTATACAAATTGCTATTATCCATTACACTATGAATGTTTCTTTCATGCGAGAGTGTCCCTTTTTCGATTTCTATGGAACTGTCGTGTGTCGAAATACTATCAGAATCTTGTCAAGCGAGCTTCTGAATGTAAACAAAGAACACCCCGTCTGGTGACCCAAGCTTCAAAGCAGTGCTTCACTTCTAGCGCGGAATGGCCCCTCCTCCCTTTCCTACCTCCATGTTTAAATCATAATTTGCAATGGTCGTCTCTCCAAATTGGGCTTTTCATTTGTTGTCAAAATCTAGTAATGCATTAGTCCTTGGATGTCCCACCATATACATAGCATTCTCTTGTTTATGCTCGGTTTAGAGGTTGGGGGGCTGGTTGTCCAGGCACACAGTATGCTCTTTTCCTAGTGAAGTTTTGGTAAGTAATCAGTTTTTCGTCGACTGTTATCATCTGGCTAAAGAAGGGTTCGTTTTTGTTTCAAGCAAGTCAAAGCATACATGCAATGACTTAATTGTGCAAATTTTTCTCATTTTAACTCATGAGTCATTCATCTGAGATATGTATAGAGCTGTTGTGGTTTTCAAATATTATCCAAATGGTTCATTCCTTGATTTAAGATTTTTATTTTTTCTTTCAAGTCTCCGATGTCATCAATAAAGGATCTTGCTCTGTCATGGTATTGTCATTAGTCAGCCTAGAGCATCTCTGATTTTTAAGGTTGAAATGACCTGCCTTAAATGTGTCAGAAACTACATCTCCACTAAAAATTTACACTAAATTTTGACATGCTTCTGTCTTATTTTTCTTGGTGGAGGTCGTACTAAATAGTGTTGTAAATGAACTTCATCAGTAACCATGTTTACATGATCAGGTCTGATTGAATAATGATATGAAGAATTTTTTTTTTTTTTTTTTTTTTTTTTTTTTTTTTTTTTTTTTTTTTTCAGTTCATTTAGAATTAGCACATGAGTATAAATGTAATGATATGAGAGAGCCATATATGTCTTTGATGAACACATACATGTTTGTTGAAGCTTGAAATAACATTATCAGACAGAACTTTCCCTTAGGCCTTATATATTCTTGTAAATGATTAAAAGTGTAAGAATTATTTGAAAATGAATTGCTACATCTTTGAGATTGTAATATTTTTTGCTTGTTAATAAATGTCTAAAAAAATTTTTTGGTTCATCCTTACATGTAGATATTGGCCTGCTGTTTTACCTAATTTCACAGAATAATGAAGTTTGAACAATTTTTCCTGCATGAATTTTATGCTAAAATTGGTTTTATAATTGCTTTATGAGTTTGGAGTCAGTAAAGTAAAAACAGTTGTTAAATTCATGTTGACTGAACAGATTTTTCACCTTTGGCCAACTAAATATTCTTGTATGTAGTAATATTTTTGCTGTTCATCTATTGAATTTTAATAACTTGGTTTTCAAATTCATATGTCTAAAATTATACCTGATATATTTTTGTGTTTATGTAAAAAAACTGCCCTTATGTCTTTATAAAAAGATCATAGTAGATTCAGGAACATGAACATTTCATTCTTACTGAACTTCCTATGAATTATGTTTTTGGAGGTCTGTACAGGAGTTATATTTTGTGTATTACATGAAATAATATATTCTTGTACTGTCATGTGCATTCTTAAATTTTATATATTTTATTGTAAATCCTTCTATTATAAATCACCAGTAGCAATGATAATGTAAAATATCTGATAACTCATGCAGTAATGGTTTGTGAGAGGAATTAGCTGCATAATTAAGCCTGCCAAATAAGATTGTCATTTGTGTGGCATTTACATTTGTTTAAACATGCTTTCTAAAAAGCAAATCATTTGTCAAATGGTTAGGAACAGAAATTGTAGATATTTTCTGGTTATCTATATTTACATGATAGCATTTTGTGGGTTGATTATAATTTAGATACAAGCATTTTATCAGAGAACAACATGCATCTGATCTCGATTTCTGTATTAAAAAGTGTAATATTATGCTTAATCATTTATATTTGTGTAGTTGCTAAGTACAAGTCTTGTCATTTGTGTAGATTTCAATTGTGTGTGATTTTTAAAGATGTGGTACCCACAGGTAAATGGTATTTCAATTACATTTTTGTATTAGAAAGTACAGTTCGAAAATTTGCTGTGCTAAATGTTTCTGTAGCAACATTCTTATAATGTAAACTGTGTGCTAGATTATTCTTTTGCTTTTTAAATTTAAATTTGGTCTTGAGCTAAAGAGAAAGATGTTTTTTGTGGAAAAGTCATGTAGCTTTGATGTAATGCATTTTCATCAGATAAATAAATGTGAGTTTGCTAAGAAAGTGTTTGTTTTTTAAGCTATTCTTTGATACTTTTAAAGATTCATTAATTTTGCAGTACTTTTTGCCACAGAATTGTGTTAAGAGCATCAAATGATGGCAGAATGGAACATTAAAAGAGGGAAAAAAGCTTTGTTTAGATCTGAAAATAAAAGCATAGTCAGTATTCATGAGATAAACTTAGAGTAATTGGCAAAGGTTTACCTTACCTTGTCAAAAAAGTTCTATTATTGTGAGAGAACTGTTATCTGATATTTATTCTTTTTTAATAT